TACAGGAAATAATTGAAACACAGCTTTTTTTTTATAAACTCAGAGACAAAGATGTCATCTGGCATAAGAGGAGAGGAGGGGGCATCATAGAAGAAGATGGCAGAGATGCCAGGTCACAGATGAACAGCGTGCCTCCAGAGACTTGCAGTTATGCTGGACTCTGTTGAATGGGGACTCATGCAGCTGGAAGAAAAGCAGAAAGATGGGTCATTTAAGTGCATGCAAAACCAAGAGCTGGGCCAGATGTAGTGGCACACACCTGTAATTTCAGTTCTCAGGAAACTGAGGAGGAGGAGGAGGAGGACTACAAGTTTGAGGATAGCCTGGGCTGCATAGCAAGACTCTTGTCTCAAAAGACAAAGAAACAAAAAGAAAAAAGGGATAGTGTAAGAAAGAAAGAGAGGAAAAAGAAAAGGAAAACCAAGAAGCTGTTAACAATAGCTTTAAGAAACCAGATGAGCCAACAAATAATCAGAGTGGACCATCACGAGTCAGATGTGACTCTCTGTAAATTATGGCAGCACACCATTAAGAAGATAGGACACAAGGCACTGTGTAGGCTTGTAGGGCTGATACACACCTGGAATCCCAGTACTAGGGAAGCAGAGACAGGAAGATTGTGAATGGGAGGCCATCTTGGACTGTGTTGTTCATGTCTGACAGGCCTGGGCTATATGATGACACACTGTCACAAGTGAACAGATAAATTTACCACCACTGATGCACACTGGTGGTACTCAGTGGATAATACCTTAAGATGAGAGAAAACCAAGATTAGAGATGGCATCATGTTACTTGGATATGAAGAGATAATTGTCAAAAGAAACAGCCACAGGAATTGAAAATAATTGTCATTCAAAAATGAAAATATGTGAGCAGGGAGCTATTGTGTTTTTGTAAGAATTTCAATACTTACAAAAAGGTGGAAGAAGAGCAATCAATGTTTTTGCCATGAAGAATTAACTATTTGAAGATGTGGATAAGTTTCACCTGATGAAAGCAGTACGCAGTATTCACATCACATGATACCCTTTTGATTCTATGTACATATCACTTTGATAAAGGCAAAAAATTAAACTTTACAAAAGGAAAATGAGGCAAGATATGGAATCAATGAAGGTATATATTTACAGTTGAATGAATAAAGAACACGAGAAGGCATGTACTCAATGAATATTATTCAGCTATTAAGGAATAAATCCCATCATCTATGACAAAATGGATGGGATGGGATGGGATGGGATGGGATGGGATGGGATGGGATGGGAGAAATTAAACAAGTAAAATAAGTCAGGCACCCCAAGACAAAACCTCATGTTCTCAGACCTGTGTGGAAGCTAAAAATACTAATATCAAAGAAGGAAAGAGCAGGATGGTGGTAACTAGAAGCTAGAAAGAGTGAAGGAGGTACAGAGTAGTTGTATAATGGTACAGACATTGACAAGGAATAGGGTTAGTGTTCTGTAACACAGTACCGTAACCATATCTCACAGCTTAGTAGCTGTACCTTACAGCACAGTAACTGTATCTTACAGCACAGTAACTGTACCTTACAGCACAGTAGCTATATCTCACAGCTTAGTAACTGTATCTTACAGCAAAGAATGGAAATAAAAAGTGAAGTAAAAGTTTAAATCAGAAAAAATAATGACACCCAAGGATGGATTCCCATAATAATTAACCTCAAGAGATACTTGAAAAATTAATGCTAAGGAATTAAACTCAATCTCAGGTATGGGCAAAGGGATGTGTATCTGTAATAACTTCAGGAGACAGGACATGAGCTGATCAAAGCCAGCCTTGGCTACAAAGCTAATTCAAGGCCAGCCTGATCTGCATGAAGAATTCCAGGCTAACTAGGCCTAATATTGAAACTGTTTGTTTGCTTTCTTGCTTTCCTATTGGTTGGCTTTTTTTAAGAAAAAAAAAGTTATCCTCAAATACAGTTTCTTAAAACAAATATTTAAGGGCCTGTAAAGATAGCTCAATGATTAAGAGTGTTCGCTGCTCTTCCAGAGGCTTTGGATTTGATTCTCAGCACCCACATGGCAACTCACAATTGTCTGTAACTCCAGTCTTAGGGGATCCAATGCCCTCTTCCGCCTTCTGTGGGTATCAGGCATACACATGGTGTATAGACATACATGAAGGCAAAACATCCATACAAGTTAATTAATGGAATTAAAAAAAAAAAAACTTGAAATGCATGAAAGAATGTTTGACTGTGTTTTCGTCTGACACACTGCCCCCTCATCTGGTCTGATGGGTGGTAAATGGGCAGTAGAGAATTATCTGTATGGCACAGTCCTTTCTGTATGGACAGGAGGAGTCATCCTGTCCAGATACTCCTGTCCATATAGATGACACTCGATTTTTGGAGAGCCATGTTGGAGCTATGCCATCTAATCCCTGCTCTTGTCCCTTCGGTTGTAAATCCGGCCTCCTGCTCCACCTCTGATTCTTACATTAGTTGCCATCTAGCTAGCTTGCCCCCTCACCCTAGTCTACTGGCCTCCTGTACAAACTCTCGTGTCTGTCTCCCTTGCTCAGGCCCATTCCTCAACAGACCCTCACGTTCCCATTTGCTGTGGCAACTCTATGCCTCTCTTCAGCCAGCTTCTTAATTCCCGGCTCCTGTCAAAGGTTGGCTAAGTGCATTTTCGAAGTGCCAGGGCAAATGAGCTGGAATTTGAAGAATCTATGTTCTTTGCTTATTCTTGAAGGTCTGGACAGCAGCTGAGGTCAAATGTAGAAAAAGTGAAAAAGTTTGGGCGGGATGCGTGACTACCTCAGGACCCATCAGTCATTCTGGCCATGCTGATGTGGATCCTGCTGTGTCCTTTCTTTTGCTTGTTGTTAAATGTCTCTTACTAACTGCTCCAAAATTTTAAACCTAGAGGTATCTTCCCAGCCTCCTCACATGAATGGTTTTGATCTCGTTAGAGGCTGTGACAAGATTTGCTGATTTTACTCGAGGTGGCAACCGGGTGGCTTTCAGCCCACATTCCACGGCAATCTGCCTTGGCCTACAGTTGATAGGCCTGTTGTCTTTCAACGTGTTCGACACTCACCATTTGATAGCTTGAGATTGGAACGAGCTGAGGAGTCTGATTAAGCCACAAGCTGGGAAGGCAGTCCCAAGTGTGAAATGTAACAGGCTCTCCCCAAACAGCTCGCCTCTATGGGGGAGAGCCAGAGGTGGTTTGGGAAGTGGCTAAGGAAGCAGATGCATTTCCCTGTTATCACAGACTAAGTCCATGGTGGTACCATTTGGCAAGTTTGACTAACGGGGAACTGAGATAACTGAACAGATGGGCACCTATTAAAAGATTTGAAGGGCTTTTATCATTCCTCAAATGGCCTTCGCCCACCTACGAGATACCCAGTTCCCCTGCAAGGAGATTATGTAAAGGATTCAATTAAATCTCTCCTTCCTCTCCCCCACTTCAATTGCAATGGACTCAGAAGCTCTGACGTGAAGAGGAAAAGAATAGCTGAGAAAGTTCTAATTTTGCAGCCCCTGGGATTAGAGGCTGGCTTCAGCTATGCAGAGAGCGCTGTTCCATATTTTGAGAGAGCTGCTGCTGGCAGCTTCCAGAGCGATGGGTTTCCAAAATAGACCATGAATTCTGCCTCCATCCCTGACTGCTGATATTTGGATGCTGAGGTACAGAGCTAGGCACGTGGTTAGATGTAGTTAACCTTGCTTTTGTAAACTGTCATCATCTTTAAGCTGAAAAAACTGCAGGGACACACATTCCCCTGGCTTCCAGGGAAAATCTGAAATATTTACAAATCCCAGGGTGATGCAGCTTAACTGTGCTCCAGGGCCACTGTGCCTGTGATTCGGAAGCATAACTGCCCCTCCTTTTCTCAGAACGATGCTTGGAACGTCCCTAAGAGTGGAAGGAAGCATAGGCCCTAGCTACAGCAGACTGATTTTTACCAAAGGCAGTCATAGTGGGTATCTAGAGATACAGCTCACAGGCAGTACTAAGGTGACTGATTCAGTGCTCAGAGCACTGTGTGTGTGAAACCCAGGACTAGCCCTGTTACCTACACTCAGCTAAGTATGTGTTTGGAAACAGAAAAGGACAGACGTGTGAACCCACCTTCACCCCCAGTGCCTCAGTCAGCTTCATCTCTATTCCAGCCAGAATAATGGATAACTTAAGACCCAGCCTCCAAAACCCAACCCATTCAATGCTAACACTTACTAAAAGTCAGCAGCACAAGGAAAATAGCCACCTTTATACTACGTATATTATTTATTTATATATATTTATATAATAATATATACTATAGGTAGTATAATGAGCAGTATTTATACAAGTAGTTATTTATGTTATTTACTAATAAATGGATGTATATGTAGTATAAAACCTTATAATTATATATAATGTGTGTGTGTGTGTGTGTGTGTGTGTGTGTGTGTGTGTGTGTGTGTCATTCCAGGCATGCCATTAATCCTAGCACCGAGGAGGCAGAGGTAGATGGATCTCTGTGAGTTTGAGGTCGGCCTGGTCGAGTTCCAGAACAGCCAGGGATACTTAGAGAAATTCTTACTTAAAAAAAAAAAAAAGAAAATCAGCTGGTGTGGTAGCACATGCCTTTAATCCCCGCACTCAGGTAGAGGCAGAGGCAGGCAGATCACTGTGAATTTGAGGCCAGCCTCATCTACAAAGTGAGTCCTGGATAGCCAAGGCTATACAGAGAAACCCTGTCTTGAAAAACAGATAGATAGATAGATAGATAGATAGATAGATAGATAGATAGATAGATAGATAGACAGACATAGATAATTGAACCGAGTTGAAAAAAAAAAAAAGCCCAAATTAATTTTCTTTCGTGTAAGCTCTTTTTCAGTTGTTTATGTTTTCACAATGGGAAGGGGATGAAAGCCTTTCTTTGGTGCTGTTTATATTCTCTCTCACTGTCCTGATGTCAGTTCGCTGACCCTCAGTGATGCTCACACAATTTGCATGTCCATGTTCTTCCAGAATGGCGGACATGTTGGGCCTGATGGAGAGACTGGAGCGCGCAGTCAGCCGGCTGGAGCAGCTGTCTGCAGGGTCTCATGGGCCTCCTGGAGACTTCGGAGAAGTTAATGGTGTCAATGGAGGTAGGGCCACAACCTGATGTCATTACTGGTCATTGTGTGGTCCACTTAACCCCGCCTTCAATTCCTTCAGATCCCTCCTCCTTCCTTTGGGCGTGATCATAACCTTAACCAGAGGCAGGCAAGTCTCTGGGGTTTTGCAAAGGGATACCTTTTTTCTTCTCCCATAAGTACATGCAAATTTTATGCAGCAGTTTAAAAAGCAAACTTTAAAAGTTTCAACCCATAATCCATAAAAATGATCAACATCTGTGCCTCTGAAGAATGTAATCTACAACCAAAGGGGGTTACTGTTTTGTTTTAATATGTAACTGTATTAATTACTGAAATAATTATCAAAGCTAGAATGAGCATGCTCAGTCAGAGCGCTTTGAATAGGATTAGGTTCTGTGGGCTTTCACTAACGGGATGAGTCACTCAGTGCGTTTGGCCACTGTAGCTTTCACTGACGCTTGTCCCAGGTTAAGCCAATGATAGAACAAAGTCACAGCCACAGCGTATCATCTGACCTCTGACTTCTGATCATCCCTAACTAATAGGCTTCTCTGGGTGGGAACCAGGGCTGAGGATAGAGCCCTTTAAAAAAAAAAAAAAAAAAGAGCTTTCAGGTTGGAGAGGTGACCGAGTGGCTAAAGGGGCGTACAACACAAATCTGGCAACCTGAGTTTGATCCCCAGAACCCACGTAAAGACGGATGGAGAAAACTGGACCCACAAAATCACACTCCAGTTGGCACATGTGTACTGATGCTTGGGTTTTCTCCAGATGTTATGCATACATACATTCTTTAAAAGATCTTTCAAAAATTGTAGGCTCAGAAATAGGATGTTAAAATTTTTCTTTAGGCCAGGAGTACTGGTTCACACCTTCATCCCAACACTCAGAAGGTGGACTCAGAAGGATCAGAAGGAGTTCAAGGCTTGCTTCAGCTACACATCTAATTTGAGGCCAGCCTGGGTTACATGAGACTCTGTGCCACACACACACACACACACACACACACACACACACACACATACACACAGACACACATACACACATACACACACAAACTCTGCCAGAAAAAAAACACAAATAAAAGCCAACTATATATATCATGTAACCCATATGGCAAACTTTAAACCTTTAAACTATCTACAATAATTTTTTTACTTCCTTTTTTTTGGTAAGATTTCAGTCTAAAAGCTAAAAATGGAGGCTGCCTATTAAATTTGAATTACAAATGGAGAAACTTTTTTTGTATCAGTGTTTTCCAAATACTGCATGAGCTAAATACTGCATGATACATAATTGTCTTTAAAAAAAATTCTAGTCATTGCTCATCTGAAATTAAAATTTAACTGGGTGATCTGTATTGAATTTGCAGTACTATTCCTGACCTGTGTGCACACACTCAGCTCCTCTGACCTGTTTTAAATACTGCTGGGGTTTAGGGAGCTGAGAAAAGCCTCAGGCGAGAAGAGACTTGGACACCTCCTTCCCCAGGAAAGACGCGTGTTGCTGCTTCTAGTACACTTGGTGTTTTGGGTCCTCTGTCTTCTATTACATACCAAAGGACAGAAAATACTGTGGGAACTCAAAATGTGCTGGTTGTGTTCCCCCTGAAAATGCTGGAAAAAAACAAACATCACCTGACTGAACCGGAAGGAGAGAATGCTTGAAGAGAGCCTGTGGTGGGCCAGAGTCCTCCCTGCACCTGATAAGACAAGCCTGTGGTTTTCTCTTAAGCCCTTTCAGTTGGCCTCTGGGCCTCATCAACCTCATTTCAATGGCAATGTCTTTCCATTGTCTCCAGAACTTTTGTTTCATTATGTCCTGGACAGTAAGTGGCTGCAGACAGTTCAGGAGGTAATGGGTATCTAAATAAAGAAGAAATGCCAATAATTTGAACCTCGCACATTCAAAAAGGTAGCAGACAAAACTTCACATTTTTTTAGAGAGAGAGCTAGGAAGATGACTCAAGGGGTAAAGTGCTTGCTGTACAAGCAGGACTGGGTTTGAATCCCCAGAATGCATTTAAAAGCCTATAATCCCAACACTGGACACCGAAATAGGAAATCTCTGATTTGGGGGTTCAGCAAGAGATCCTGCCTCAATACATAAGGTGGACAGTGACTGGGGAAGACAGTGCTTACCTCTAAGTGCAAAAGCACATGCAGGTACACCCACACTTGTGCAAACCTACCTCCATGTATGCACGTACACACGCATGCCACAAGCACATATACACGCAACAGAGAAAGAAACGTCCTGAGGGAGGAAGAGGGCTAAATAAAATTGGAAGCGACAAAATTAAATTACTTGACATTTAAACAAATGTTTTCCAACACAAGTTGTCTCCAATTGGTTATCAAGGCAAAGGTCTTCTGGAAAAATTAGCTGGCGATTGATTTTACCTGAGGGGGGGTAATTAGGAAGTAGGGTAATAAGGGAGACACCTGAATGGTACCCCGTCTTAAAACATTTTATTTAATCTGAAGTAATGTCATTTCCTCTTCTTGGTCAGCTTTGATGATCGAAGTCCTGAAGCAGCCTCTTAGCCAGCTGTGGTCCACACCTATAATCCCCGAATCTGGGAGACTGAAGCAGGACCATGTGAAATCCGTACTAATTAATCAACTGTGTTTTCCCCCTAAAGATAGACACTGTGCTGCTATCCCACATACTACATTACTGTATCATATACCATATTAGATTTCCCTTATACTTTTTTTTTTTTTTTTGGTCTTGCTCTGTTTTTCTGTCTTGTTTTCTTGACAATTGGGCACAGCGGAGGAAACGATTTTGCATTCCTGCCTTGTAATGAGCATGGTCCTGGGTGCAGAAGACCTCAGAGCCTAATCCTCCAGCATCTTTGCTTTGTCTGCCTTACTATTCAGAGTCAAGGATGCTTTGATTAAGATATGCTCAAAGGATCCAGTCAGGGGGCAGAACGGATCATTAAAGGCTGCCCGGAGGAGGGGTGAGCAGGATCCAGGGATGAAAGGGAACTGGAAAAAATATTCCCTTTCATCATTTTACCTTTTGCCAGGCAGCAGCATCCATCACGTTTCTGAAATTTTCTTCCACTTTAAATGCCTAACAGAGACCCCACACCTCCCGCAAGTGACAAACAGCTCTATTTCCACAGGGAAAGATACAGAATCTCCCTGTTATGTCATACAAGGTGAAACCCAGTCCCAGCTGGTACAGGATAACTCCTCAACAGGCTCCTGAGGTGTGTGGCCTGAAGTGTGGGGAACTGTCCATCATTGTCCCTACCCCCACCCCTCCTTGGGGCTGTGGAAATGGGTAATTGGAATAAAAGGAAAAGGAAGTCTTCTCTCTCAGTTCTGTGAGCAGGGATAATGTATTTGAGGGAAGAAGGGGGCTTTGGTTGGAGTGTTAATAAACTGTAGGGATATAGTCCTTAATATTAGGGAAGGAAAGTCAGAGCTTTAGATTTTTTTTTTTTCAGTTGACTAAAAAGAAGAGAAGGAAGCTGAGTGTGCTGGCTAAACCACTACCCTTCAGTTCTCCCAGCTCATCGCTGACAATGTTCCACACAGATTGATCCTTAAGGAGTCTCATTCTCTTTCTGCCCCTGTGTCCTGTCCCCGGGAAGGAAAGGAGAGAGAAAATGACTGGGTGTGCCCTGTTGCCCCTCTGAAATCCTGGGGACTCTGGCTAACTCTATGTAGGTTGGTGTAGTGCCTGAGAAAGCCAGGGAGGAAGGGGCAGTGACTTTGAGGAACCTGGATCAGTTCCATTTGAGCATCTGCCTTTTGTTTGGTCTGTAGGTCAGGCCTGTGGCCCGCTCTGTCTGCGCTTCTGTTCTCTTATCTTGTACCTCCGTGAAGTCCCTGCTTACCTGATGGACTTGAGAATCAGTGTAACCAAATGCCTGATAAAAACCAACTTAAGGAAGGGCAGGGGGGTGGGGGGTGGGGAGGGAAGGGCTCATGGTTTGAGGCACAACCTGTCATGCCAGGAAGTCTTAGAGGCAGGAGCAGGAGCAAGAACTGTCAGGAAGCAGAGAGAGATGAATGCTGGCTCGGCTTGCTTTCTCCTTTCCATTCTGTCAGGCCTCCTGCCCATCCATGGTCTCGTCACCCACAATCCACCTCTGTCAAACCTCTCTGGCAATGCCCTCATGGACATACATAGAGGTGCGTCCATTTGGCAGTTCTAAATCCAGTTGAGCTGATAATCCAGATAACAGTCAGAGGAGGGAATGAGAAGAACAGTGTTGTTGATGAAAGTGTTTCCTGGGGAAGATGGAAACGGGGCAAAGGGGGTTTTCCTGAGCCATGGTGAAGATGGCATGCATGGAGGAATGACTGACTGACTGAACAAGTGAGGGTAGCAGCAACAATGCTCAAACTTCCACGTAATCCGTGACCTGTGGTGAGCGAGCCCCCAGCTTTCTACGAAACCACTGGGGCTTCATTCCTGACGGAGCCATTCTTTTTCACAGGCATGGCACCGTCCGTGGAAGCCTTTGACAAGCTGCTGAACAGTGTGGTAGTCGAGTTCTTGAAGAACAGCAGAGTCCTTGCTGGCGATGTAGAGATCCACGTGAGTACTCCCTGGCCCCCTCAGACAACCCCAATGGAACAATGATGTCTGCTTTGCTCATTGTTCCTTTCGTTTATGCAATCATTTATTTATCTGCCCGACAAGCGTCTACTGATTCATGCATCAGAAGGTACCAGGAATTCAGAGATGAGTGAGACAAGAGAGTCCTGCTCCATCCCCACCTCAGAACTTCACTTTTATCTTTATTGTTGGGAAATAAAAGACATATGACAGACATAAATATATAACCAACTGAGGTATTATAGGTAGGACCAAAAAAAAAAAAAAAAAGGAAATAGGCAATGATATGGAAAGTTCTGGAATCGGGGCTGTTGGTATAGGGGCTGTATCTCCTGTATCTCAGGAGGTGACTTTTGAGCAGCAATCTTAGTGGAGAGAGGGTGGTTATGGAGCAGAGCTTTCCAGACCAGACAGGGTTATAGCAAAGACTCGGAGGATGCTGGAACAGGCTCTTCTCAGCAGTGAAAAAGGCTGCTGGGAGGTGAGTTAGGGAGGGAGACAGGGAGGGAGCGTGGGACCAGAGCCAAACAGGACCTGCTAGTCACAGTAAAGGACTTACTCGTGGGCTTGGGGTGACAGGAAGCTACAGAGGGCATTGAACAGGGGATCGTGGTCAATTCCCTTTACTTTAAAAAAGATCCTCCAACAGAGTCAACTCAGCCACCGTTCTTCCTCAGGGTCAGGCTTAAGGCTGTTAACTAACACCTGTGAGGCTGTACCTATCATCAGAAAATCGAAAGCGTTGACATGGCTGCGGTGAAATCAGAATGCCTATGTTCTGTTGGCAGGGATGTAAAATGGTACACCCATAAGAGAAAATGGTTTGGCAGATACTCTGAAAACAGCATAAACATAAGATCACACATCTGAGCACATACCAAAAGCAATAAAAATAAAAAATAAAAAGACTTTCGAGGTGGTATTTTTTATACCCCAATTCAGAACAACCAGAGTCCCACAGCCTAGAGAGAGGAACAACTGCCTGTCTATGGACAGGCAAATGAAGGACACTGTGCTAAAGGAAATAAACTAGACACAGAAAGGAGGGCGTTCACACATGTGAGGCATCCAGAGAGGCAGGCTTCATGGAGGCAGAGAATAGAACGGAGTCTGCCAGAGGCGGGAACGGGAGGCAACGAGCAGTTGTCTTACAGGTGGGAAGCTTCCGTTCTACGATGACCCAGAAATCTCGCAGCAGCACAAGCCTAGCAGCGCTGAATGCATGCTTCAAAATGGTTAAGATGATAACGTGCTTCCGCTGGTTTCTTATCGTGTGTGTGTGTGTGTGTGTGTGTGTGTGTGTGTGTGCGCGCGCACACAACTTCATGAGTGGGTGGCTGCCCATGAAGGTGTGTGTGTGTGCATGCATGCGGGGCCAACCCCAGATGTCTTTCCTCAGGTGAGATCCACCTTATTTTTGAGACACTGATAATCCCCCTGAGTGGCCAGCAAGTAAACTTCAGAAATCATCTTGTCTCTACCTCCCTAGCACTGGATTACAACTGTGTGCTGGCTTTTTACATGGCGGCCAGGGATCAGAGGTGCCCTTGGTGAGGCCAGCCCTTCACTGGCTGAGCTATCTCTCCAGCCCTGTTTCTGACTGTTTTTTAAGTTACCGTGCAAAGGAACAGTTTCACTGTGGCACTCCCAGACCTGTGTATCATTATACTGTGTTCACATTTGTCCCCCTCCCCGGCTGTCCTCCTCCATGACCTCTGTCCCCTCTGGCTGGTTCCCTTCCTCAGACCATCCCTAATTTCTGTTTTCATGCCACAAAGATTCCATTGCCCTCTCTTCACAATCTTAGTATCTCTTCTGTCTCTCATGATCACCTTTCTAGATTCATGACCTGCACTCAGACAGGCAGACACACACATATACAGAAAGAGAGATGCAAATTCTCTTATGTCTTATCTTCTCGTGACCTTTTTTTCCAAGTATAGCCTGGAAGAAAGGAAAAAAAATCAAAGAATCTGGAAATGGCTGGATTGGAATAGATCTGTAAGGACGTGTGTACTCTGATTTGCTGGCTACAGACAGTCTTTTTTATCCCCAGCACTTAGTCATTATTTACATCCACTTAGTGCAAACACAAGTCAGGCCAATTAAAAACTTCGGGCTAAGTGAAGCATCAGGGCTGCTTTTCCTCTGTCTAAGAGGAGAGAATGCCAACTGCCTCCCTGTAGATGCCTCTCCATCGGGACAATCCTGCCAAAGACACTTTCAGCGAAGGTTTCAGAAAATGTGACGCTTGGATAAAGTTGTCTAAGGTTAGCAAAAGTAACGGACGGAAAAAGCATTTCCATCTTTGCTGCTTGTCTGTTGATAGTGTCTTCAACACCTGACACCGGTCTTGCAGGGGGATGGGTGAGCCTCCATCCCGGTGGGCTGGGATGTGATGAAGCGGTCAGGGCACAGTGCGCACTGCCCTAGGTGTCCTCTGCTGTTATTAAATACGTCTCTCCAAATACTCGTTGGTGGAAATGGGGAAACTTCGGGACATCTGAGGCCCAGGGAAATGTCTTCCGAGACAGCCACTCCCAGACTCCTTACCGACTGTGAATGTCACGCTGTTGTTACACCGACGCTTTTATTTCTGGTTGTCTTGGCTTCCGTGAAAGTGTATATACAGCGAAATGGTGTCATATTTGTCAGCACAGTCTGTCTGAGAGCTAGATACATAAAGGAGTGGTATCCCAATAGAAAGAGGCAGTTTTGGGGGTGACGCTGTCACCGAGATTCCAGACTTGTGACCTTCAGTTGACGCCGGTGTTGTGTTTCTGGGGTAGGAGAGTACATCGGAGCTCATAACATCTCACAGAAACCCCAGCCAGAAGCTTAAAACAGAAACAAGCATACTCAAGCTTCAACGTTTTTCAAAAATGTAGGGTTTGCAAAGTGAGCCTCCTAATTACATAGTAAACAGCCCCCCCCTTTTAAGGTCCTTTTAGAATAAAGTGTACGTGTAACTGGAATTAAGTGAAGGATTTTTTCCCTCCCTGATCACCAGCTTATAAACAATGTGACTCTAAAGAAAACATGTTCTCAGTGATGAATATGAAATGCTTTACAAGTGTCGTGTTTATTTTTAATAGAAGGAAAGACTGAAAAAGGAAAAAAGAAGAGGGAATGAGGAAGGGCTAGAGAGGAGAGGGGAGTCAAGGAGAAAAGAAAGAAAAAAGGGAAAGGAGAAAGCAAGGGAGAGCAAAAGAAAGGAGGAGAGGCAGAAGGGAAAATACAGGGAAGAGAGAGGCAGAGAGCAGTAAGGGAGAGAAGCGTTTGCCTTCTGAAAACACAGGCCCTCGCTCTGAAACACAAAGAACAGCCCAGGCAGCCAGAGCCCATCTGCCTGTTACTTTAATAACGTGAACAAGCAGTTTGGGTCTGGATCCTCAGAGAGCCCTGTGCCGTCGAGTGAAGCCTGCAGCTGCCGCCTCTCCCGCAAGCCAAAAGTGGGGTGGGGGTGGGGATTGCACTTTGTTCCAAGAACACACCTGTTGCCTAGAAAAAGAAAACCCTGCGTACCTGACTGTACATATGGAAACCTGAGAGGGATACCCACATGCTTCATGTTCGGTCCTGCCCCCCGGCTTAGCAGCTATTTCACAGATACTAATAATGAGCAAGGCAGGCAGGCCATGATTTAACGTCTGTCTCCGTGTGCTGGCTGCTGGGCCGGCTTTAATTTACCGAACACTCAATAGTCTATTGACAGAATAGACCACAAAAAGGAGGAATTAACGGTGACAATTAGGACGTTCTGCTGAACCTAAGAACATAACAGGTTTAGAAAAGATTAGATCTGGCTAAGCCTCCTTGTATGCGACATAAACCAGAGGACTTATTTAAATTACTCTCCAACCGGAGAACAAGGGCACAGCCTGTGCCTCCTTTCAAAGAATAAACAATGCATAATTTTATAATAGATCTGTAGGGTAAACATGGCTGTTGCCCTGAAAGAAAAAAATCCTCCAGAAACAGAGCCCATATATCATCAAGGTTTTGGAAGACATGGCCCATTCACAATGGACTCGTGTGACTTGTGTGCTGGGTTGTGCTTCTCTCTTTTTTGTTGTTGTTGCTGTTGTTTTCAAGACAGGGTTTCTCTGTGTAGGCTTGGCTGTCCTGGACTCATTTTGTAGACCAGGCTAGCTTTGAACTCACAGAAATCTACCTGCCTCTGCCTCCCTGAGCGCTGGGATTACAGGCGTGCGCCACCACACCTGGCTTGTGTTGTGTTTCTTAAAACTTTTGTACAGCTAGAGATGAACCCCAGTGCGTAGAGTGTTCTCTAGCAAGCAGAAAGACACGCATTTGTGCCCGCGTCTTGGCCGCACATGCCTGCAGTCAATCCCCAACCCTTTGGAGGTGGAGGCAGGGGTGGGCGCTTGAGGGGCCAGCATGGGCTACACGAGACCTTGTCTCAACAAAGGAACAATGTCACTGCCCAAGTCAGTGACATCATTATTCTCAGTTTATGGAGCTAATCCCAGGCCAGTTGCTGAGTGACTTGGTGGTCACAAAGCAGCTGCCAATGACAGCTGAAAATCCTGAGTCCTTTCTGAACAGTTTGGGGCTCATGGGATGTTTATTTCTTTTTCTTGATTAAAATGGATTTAAGAGAAAACTCCCATGAGTTGTTTCATAAAATAAGAGAATCACGATTTAAACCAAAATACAGTAAAATTAAACTAAGCATTATGCACATCTGTGATGTAGACACATTCTGTGCTATGCTGTGTCTTTGTCCTCCCTGACCTTATAACAAATAGGCATTTTTAGACAATTAATAGACGGCGTCATTTGACGGTTGCTGGAGGTGGTGTTTTAAGGCAGGGTGCCATGCAGTCCAGGGTGGCCTAAAATTTGCTATGTGGTTGATCCTGACTTTGAACTGTTCCTCCTTCCTCCACCTCCCAAATGCTGGGATTACAGGCACACACCACCCACAGGACCTCACTTCTCATGTCTCTCATCACTTCACAACATGCTAGCCGGCTGCCTAAGTCATCTGTAGAATGGTGGGCTCACATCATGCCATGCTGGCTAGCAGAGAGATTCCAGGAGGGGCGGAGCGGCCTCTCTCACCCTCTCCTTCAGCCATACTAGTCTTCCAGTTAACTTCCGTTTCCCTGCTTGTTTTTTTTGTAATTACTTTAAGTGCATGCCTTCAGTAAGGTTACTGCACATCTTGTCAGGAATTCTGATTCTGGGGCTCCCACGTGCTGTGAATCCAGCTTTGCTTTCCCTACAGTTCCTAATGACAGCCCCAACTTTCAGATGAGAAAACATTTGGGTGTCGTTCCAAGAATATCTTCTTTTAGCCCTCCCTCCCATTTTATTTCTCTCTTCCTCTCTTTCTCCCTCTATTCCCTTCCCCTCCCTCCTTCCATCTCTTTTCTCTTTTATTCTTTCCTTTTTCTTCCCTTCTCTGTCCTTCCTTTCTCCCTCATTCTGATTTTCTTTTCTCTCTCCCTCTTTTCTTTTTTTCCTCCTGTCCCCTCTCTTCTCCCTTCCTTTTTTTCTCCCTCCCTTCCCTCCTCCCACCTGTCTGTCTATTTTCTATAGAGAAGAACCTATACCCTAGAGAAAATAAGGAACACGGGGTGGGTTAAAGGACAGCAGAGACTTGGCAGCACAGCTGGGAATCTGATCCTCGGAGTCCCCGTCTGTCACCTTAGCTGACGCCTGCTTTGACTTTTGGGGCAGCTGTGGCTCCCACGACCTTGCTCCTCATGAGAAACAAGGTGGCAGAGTACAAGTCAGACACAGGGCCAAGGCAGGCTAGAAGACCTCCTACCGCATGATTTTATGCATCCCCTCAGAGTGATAAGAGCTGGGTGGGGAGTGAAGACCTCAGGGCAGTGTGTATTCCTTCCAGAGTCTTCACTTCCCCTCTGTCACACAGTCCAGTCCAGCCCAGTCATGACCATGCTGCTGGCTCCAGAGGTACAGAATTCAGGAGCACCCAGACACTTGCCTGTTATCACTTCTTCCCAAGAACACGGAGAGAGACTTTTTGATTCTGTACCGAGGACACGCTTGGCTTCTGATCACAGGCTTTGACTTGCAGCCCATGCTCTGTGGAGGTGCTGCTACCCTTGGGCAGTACGGCATGGTTAGTTTTCCTTGTCACCTTGGCTAGATGTAGAATCATCATGGAGACTCGGTTGGCTTGTCTCTGAGGGAGTTTACAGAAAAGTTTGCCTAGGGAGGGAAGACCCACCCTGAATGTAGGCAGCGGCATCCCAGGAACTGACGCTCTAGGCTGAATGTTAAAAGGGTTAGCTGAGCTCCAACCTCCATCTCCCTCCACCTTCTGAGGGCAGACACAGTGCTAGCCTCATACACCCACCACTGGGCTACCTGCTCTGATGGACGGCATCCCCTGAAACCAGCCACTCGTTCCTGAAGTTGTCTTGTCAAAAGTCTCATCACAATGGGGACAAAAGTAACAAATACAGTTGGCCAGTTTTTCACTTCACTAAGTTTTTAGACAAACTCAGATTACACCCAGAATCCAGGGGATGACTGGACTTAGAAACTGGACCGCGAACATCTTGGAAAGGCCACCAGGCACCGCTAACCTTGTCTATCAAAAGCAAGCTGCCACCAGATATCCTACTGGAATAATGAACTGGGTTCTGGATGCAGCCAAGGTTAAGAGAAGACATGTCATTTTACCTTTCTGGTATACGCAATAGGTTACAGTGTGACATTCTATACTTGTACATATACTGGTTTTTGGTTTATTTGTTTGTTTGTTTGTTTGTTTGTTTGTTTGTCTCTCTGTCTTGGCTGTCCTGGAACTTATTATGTAGACCAGGCTGGCCTTGAACTCACAGAGATTCACCTGCCTCTGCCTCCCAAGTGCTGAGACTAAAGGCGTGCGCCACCACACCTGGATGTGTCTTTTAACCATATTCAGCCCCATACCATCTCTGGTCTTCTCCCCACTCCACCTGATTCTCCATCTTTTCAACTACTCTCCCCCTTTCCTCACTCCCTTCCCCTCCTCTCTCTTTGGTGGCAATTAATTTAATTAGCATTGTTTATAGGAGTCTGGGTAAGAGATTTTTGCTAAACTAGCCCTTGAGTGCTTTTCTTCTTTCCTTTTTCGTAATCAAGTCTAATTTAACTTTTTAAATAAATAATGTATTTATTATTCAGTCAGGAAAAGCTTATGTGTGGGCCAGTGAGATAGTCAGCGAGCAAAAGCATTTGCAGGCAAGCCTAAAGACCCAAGTTCAATCCCTGGTACCCACAGGAGGAGGAGAGCACTGAGTTTTGAAGCTCCACTAAGCTCCACATGTGCAACTCCCACATGCTCTCTCTCTCCCTCTCTCCCTCTTTCTCTCTCTCAATCTCTCTCTCAGTCTCTCTCTCTCTCACACACACACACATACGCACACATATGCACACACACTGAATAAATGAATAATTAATTAAAGGGGATAATTAATAAATTAATTGAAGCAGGATAATTAATAAATTAATTGAAGCAGGATGATTAATTAATTGAAGCAGCAGGAAGTGTTGGGGGTGTCATGTATGAGGAGGGAGTGTCCAGTCTCACGGAGAGGGCGGGGGTTCCAAGTGCCAGAGTGGCTGTAGAAGAGAGAAGACAGCTTGCGGGTCAGTTCTCCCGTTCCACCATGTGGGCTCGGAGGATCAAGCTCAGGTTGTTGGGCTTGTAAGGCCACTGAGTCATCCCTCCAGCCCTAGTTTTTATGTCTTTAATGCTTTTTCTTTCCCAGAACCTTTAATACAATAGTAATAAGGCGTTGGTAATGCATTATCCTTTTAATAACATGTGTTAATTGTACATAATAATGCACTTCATAAGATATTTTATCAACATAGAGTATATTCCCTCTCCTCCCACCTCCTGTTCATCACCTCCATTTCCCCAACTTTGCTTCTGCTTTCATGACATGTGTATGCTTGATTTTATGTCTTCTATAAAACCTAAGGTCCACAAATAAGAGAAAACACACAATATTTGCTTTCCTAGGTTTTGACCTATTTTGCTTAGTATGATCTCCAGTTACATCCGTTTTCCTGCAAACCACGTAATTCAGTAATTCATTATGGCTGAATGAGTCCCGCTCTGTGGATAATGCCATGTTTTCTTTATCCTTTCATTTACTGATGAGCGCCTAGACCAATTCCATCTTGACTCCTCCTGAAGTAAACACTGGCCTGCAGGTATCTCCGTGGTGTGTGGTTTTAGAGATGCCGCATATCTCGGAGCAGGCTAGCTGAGTCACAGGGAAGTCTACTTCTAATTTTCTGAGGAACCTCCATACTGATTTCTACTGTGGCTGGAATAGACCGATTCACATTCCCGCCAGCGTCTTTCCTGAAATATAAGAACCTCTTCTTCCTCCACTTCCGAACCAGCCATTGATGGGTTGTATTTTGTTTTTTTGTTTTTTGTTTTCTTAACAATATGGATTATCCAAAAAGTGTGTATGTGCAGAGTGTGTACATGCATTTGTGCGTGCGTTCTTACAATCTTTAGTGCTGGTGGTCTAGGATCTCATGCGTGTTAGGTAAGCACTCTTCCTCCGGCTGAGTTCTTAGCCTGGGACAACCCCTTTTTAACATTCACTTATTTATCTAGAGGGGGTGGGTGCACGCTATTGCAAGCATGAGGAGGTGAGAAGACAACTTATGGAGTGGGTTTTTTCCTTCCGCCCCTGTGAGCTCCAGGGATGGAGTTCAAGTCTCCAGCAGGAGACCCCTTCCCCCACTGAGCCACCCCACCAAGCCCCAGTATAATCATTTGTAATTCCAAACCCTTGCCTTCTCTGTCTAGGCAACAAGAGTGTTAAACTGGGTCAGAGGTCTGCTTGGGCATCCATAGATGGAGACAAGCACATGGATTTCCTCTTTTGATAGTTATATACCCACTAGTTCCCAGCCAGTCTTCTATTTATGATTTTATGGTGTTACCTTCAATATGTTTAACGAAGGGCTATGGGAAGGTTTATGAGTCATAGGAGAGCTACCTTGTTTCATGAAATATGCAGTCTGGCCTTACACATTATACCCAACGTGAAGATTAGAGCCAAGCGGGAAGCACAGAACTTGGGAGGCTGAGGCAGGAGGATCAAGAATTCAAGGCTGGACTGGGCTATATAGTAAGACCCAGGAGAGGGGCTGGGAAGATTGTAGACCTTGAAGCTTTATCATTACTGCATTATTAAATAACAGTGTCATTTTTATGCTTAGGAAAGTTTACATATACAAGTTATTTTTATGTTAAATCTTCTGTTCAAATAAAAACAATGATATTTCCTATCCGTGAGTTAAGGTGTAGCCTATAGATTTGAACTGTGTTACTGCCTTTTGTTTGCTGGTTGGTTGGTTCTTTTTGCTTTGTTTTGTTCATTTGTGTGGTTTGGGGTAGGGGGGGTTGTTTTGTTTTGAGACAAGAGTTCTCTGTGTAGCCCTGGCTATCCTGGAACTCTCTTTGTAGACAAGGCTGGCCCAGAACTCAGAGATCCACCTGCTTCTGCCTCCCAAGTGCTGGGATTAAAGGTGTGTGCCATCACTGCCTCGTGAACTGTGTCACTTTTTGAGGGGATATGTTCAAATTACCTTAAAATATAAATTACATTTTTTAATATTATATGTACTAACTACGTTTTCAGATTTTCAAGTTAAAAAGTCGTAATAATGTGCAGGGACTGTAGTGAGGCCTGTTTCTTCTGCTCCCTTCGTAACCCTTTTGCCTGTACTAATGAGTTCTGTTGGGAAAGGAAGAACCTCCACAATGAAATTAGCCCTGCAGGCAGGACTGCTTTTAGTAACAGATTGTTTCGGGGCAATTGAATTCTTTGGTTGAGTAAACCATGAAAAGCTGAGTCCTCATCACAACTGCTGAATCTGAAGGAGAGCCCAGCTCTCTACAGAGCTGAGCTGGAGATCCAGTGAGTAGGAGGTCACACAGGAGGAGGAAATCCAGGCTGCATTTCTGCAACCAGATTTTTTACAATATGGGTTCCTTACTCTCTTCCATCCTTCTCCACCCTTATTCCACCCTTCCAACCCCCAACACTAGGTAGGAGAGAAAGGAGGGTAGAGGGAAAGGGGGGCAACGTTATCCTTAGACTACTTCCTGATGATTAGGGACATCTATTTCTTTGAGGGAAGTTTAAGCTTCATGGTCAGGATATTCGATTCCTTCTTCTCTTTGTGCATGACCACTTGACAAACTGCAAAAGCAGAAACCAGCAACAGCAGCAACAGGAAGAAGAGGAGGAGCAGCAGCAGCCACTGCAGCCCCTCTCCGGGCTCTAGCATTTCTATGTCCTCTCAAGAGTCCCCAGAATTCCAAATGTCGTACTCTTGCAGGAACTATTTGCAGCTGGCGAAATCACACCCCTGCCAGAGCACAAGGAAAGTCATAGTCAGCTACTGTGGTCAGTCTGAAGCAGCCCCATATCTCACACCCGGAATTACAACAAAAACATATTCCCATAGCGTATTTCTGTGTTTTTTAAAGAAATCAAAATTACAAAATTCTCACCACACACATCCAAACTGACCATGTGCATCTTTCACAGAGAGACAGGGGGGTGAGGGGCTTAGGTCAGGTTCTAATGTCTCTGCAGCTCCGAATCCTCATGTAGCAATGGATGCCAATAAGAATCTTATGTGGCATTTATGGTCCTGACTCTCCCATTCCTCTAGGTTTCACTGGCTTAAGCAAAATGAGTAGCCAACATATACAGGGACAAAGTCAGAGCAGGCCCTGGAGGAGGGTGTGTGTGTATGTGCATGCGTACGTGAGCGTGTGCATGCATATGTGCGTGGGTAGGCAACGAAGACTCGCTCGATACTTCTTCAGCAGAACCTGGAAGAAAGTGGACTAATGAGTCTTGGATAAAATGAATTGCTCTGTAAAAGAGCAACATGGACACTCGAGCCAGGGTCAGAAGCTCATTGCAACACTATTTGCAATGACTGACTTATGGAAGCAACCTACGTGTACAACAACAGAGGGAAATGGACAAGAAAATGTAGTGGATGTAAATGGGAGTAGAGGGACTTTATTGCAGCCATAAAAAAAAAGGGGGGAGGGGAAGTTGTTTGAAAGAAAACTGTAAACAGCCATGATTGATAAATCAGGGCAATTTCATTAAAAGGGATGTCTATTTTCTCTCCCTTGTGGGTCCTAATTTAATAGAGACACATAAAAGCATGTGTGCATACGTGTAGAAGCAGAACTGTCTATGGGAATAAAGGGAACTAATGGGAGGGGGAAGGGCGACACAGTGGGAGAGGACGGAGGGAGGTTTAGTGAGAATATATGCGACATGCTTACAATGCACGCTACAAGAAAATGTGTATGTATACAGTGAGACTACTCGTGAAGTTTTAACATTTTTATCAAAAGAAAGTCTTGTAGGTAACTAGCAAATTTTTGTTTGCTTGCTTGTTTCAAAATAACGTTTCTCTGTGTAGCCTTGGCTGTCCTGGAACTTGCTTTGTAGACTGGGCTGGCCTCACAGAGATCTGCCTGCCTCTGCCTTCTGAGTGCTGGGACTAAAGGAGAGTGTCCATAACAGCTACCAGCCAAAATTTTTTTCTCCGGTTTTCCTCAAAAATACCCTCTCATTGGATTATTTTCTATCAGCGGTTGTCTTTGTTTTTTTAATTTTTTACAATTTATTCATTGTATGTCCTGATTGTAGCCCCCTCCCTCAACTCCTCCAAGTCCCCCTCCCTCCTTCTTCCCCTTATCTCCTTCCCCTAGTCCACTGAAAGGGGAAGTTCTCCTCCCCTGCCATCTGCCCCTAGCTTATCAAGTCTCATCAGGACTGCCTGGATCCTCTTCCTCTGTAGCCTGCCTGGCAAGGCTGCATCGCTAGAGGGAAGTGATCAAAGAGCAGGCAATGGAGTTCATGACAGAGGCAGACCCTGCTCCCAGTACCTGGGAACCCACATGGAGACTGAGCTGCTTATTGGCTACATCTGAGCAGGGGGTCTAGGTCCTCCCCATGCATGGTCCTTGATTTGTGCATCAGTCTCTGCAAGACACCCTGGGTCAGATTTTTTTTTTTTTTTTAGTTTTGTTGGTCTCCTTGTGGGCCTCCTGTCCCCAAGTCTTAAGTCACACTAACAAGCATCACAAAATAAGTGTCCTCTCCTTTCCTGTTCCCTTATGTATTCCTCTCTTCTCTCTTTTCATCTTTCTACAACAATGTCAGTAACTGGAACATTTACTTCTTACTTTTATTGTTCTTTTTGTTGTTGTTGTTATTTTATTTAGTTTTTGGTTTTTGAAACCACGTCTTGTGTATCCTAAGTTGGCCTAAAACTCAGTTAATAGCGAGGATTGTCTTGACCTCTCTTATTTTTTTTAATTTTATTTTTTTTCTTATCAGTTACATTTTATTAACTCTGTATCCCAGCTGTATCCTGCTCCCTCATTCCCTTCCAATCCCACCCTCCCTCCCTTATCTCCACCCTGCCCCTTTCCAAGTCCACTGATGAGGGGGGCCTCCTCCCCATTCATCTGATCCTGTTTTATCAGGTATCTTCAGGACTGGCTGCAAAGCTCTCCTCTGTGGCCTAACAGGACTGCTCCTCCCTTGGGGGGTGGGGAGGCCAAAGAGCCAGTCATTGAGTTCCTGTTAGAAATAGTCCTTGTTCCCCTTACTATGGGAAACCAATTGGTTACTGAGCTACCACGGGCTACATCCGAGCAGAGGTTCTAGGTTATATCCATACATGGTCCTTGGTTGAATGTTAGTCTCAGAAAAGACCCTGTGCCCAGATATATTTGGTCCTTGTGGAGCTCCTATCCTTTCCCCATCATACTAACTCCCCTTCTTTCATATGATTCCCTGTACTCTGCCGAAGGTTTGGTTATGAGTCTTTGTATCTGCTTTGAAAACACTGCTAGTTAGAGTCTTTCAGATGCCTTCAGTAGACTCCTGTCATACATTCAATGCACATCCCATCTGTCTTTCTAAACGAGGATTGATCATCTTACCCCATGTCTGCTCTCTTGATTATCTTTTTTAGGTGTATAGATTTCATTATGTTTATCATATCTTATAGGTCTATATAAGTGAGTATATACCGTGTTTATCTTTCTCCTTCTGGGATATTTCACTCAGAATGATCTTTTCTAGATTCCACCATTTGCCTGCCAATTTCATGATTTCCTCCTTTTTGATTGCTGAGTAGTATTCCATTGTGTAAAAATACCACAATTTCTATATCCATTCCTCCGTTGATGGACACATTTTAGCCTCCTGCCTCCACCTCCTTAGTGCTGGGGTTACCGGTATATACCACCTTGCCTGATTTATTGAGTGCTGGGGCTTGAACCTAGGACTCTGTGTATGCGAGGCAAGCTCTGTACCAACGGAACCACATCCCCTGTTCTCTTCTATCTGGATTTCAGAATGATACAATCACTTGCCCAGAGGATGTTATGGTGTTTGTGCTTTGTCCTAAAGTGATGACTTCTTTATATTCTAATTCACTGAGATAATTTTGTTACATCCTCATAAAATACATACACCATTCTGGCAAAAATTCCTCATAATACCTTATTCGGTACACATAAGAAACACAGTCCCTATCAAATCCATGGGCTCCTGGTCCATGCATCTCTCTGATTCTAAGAAAACATGTCTGCAGGTCTGTTAACTGTGCACAGAACAACAGCAAACTTTGCTCTCTGATCTTGACGATATTTTCCCCTTTCTTAGCTGTGATTAAATAGTAAGTTGACAATAATTGGGTCACTTTAAAATCTGACAGTTCACATGTGTATGCATAAATATATATGTGTGTGAGTGTGTTTTAACATGTATAAGTCAAATCTTTTTAAAACATCAAATAAATACCTTAGTTATGGAACAGGATGTTCAATGAATTAATAATTTCTTTCTCATGCATGTTTGTAGTATAAAGAGTTTATAAAACTCTTTGAGGATGGGCCTTATACATACATACATACATATATGCATACATGTACATATATACAGACTGACCTCAAACTCATGACAGATCTTCTGCCTCAACCTCCTAAGTGCTGGGAATACACACCTGAGCCATTAGGCCACTTGACTAATATATTTGACTTTTAGGTGCGTTAGTTAGATAAGATTATTCACGCCCACTTGCTGAATGCTGGGGGTTATCGAAAGATTCAGGAAGCAAGCAGGTTTCCTCTCAGTATCTACAGCTGTGACTGCAATACGTGATTAATAAGAGTTTGCCAAACAGTAGCATAAAAAATGAATATTTAGGTAAATGAATCCAATTATTGCTACGTAATTGAATCAGTGGATGGGTTGATTTGCTGTAGCTGATGGTCTGAATTAAGCCAAGTCTAGACTAGCAGTCAAAAACAAATGACCAAGGCCAGACTTTTAAGCCATAAATTAGCAATAACGTATTTTTTTTAAGTTAGATTTTTGTGTATCTGTAGAGGCTTACACACACATGTACACACACACACATACCATCAGTTTTCAAAAGGACAGCTATGGGGCAGGAGCGAACCCTGGAGCCTGGAGGCATACGTTAAGAAATTAACATTTTAGCTGGGATTTTTCTGTGTGTTTCCAATAATCAAATCTGCCTGGTTTCATGAGACTGTGGCTGCATGTATTTCTATGAGCATAAACATCTGGCAGAGAGCTGAAAATCCAGCAGATCGTCTCAACACATCCAAATGCAGAGGCCCTATGCTTTTCAGCCAGATGCTTCCCTCCCACCAAAATTCAACTCAGGAGTCACTTGCCCCGAGCCCTAATGGAAGCCATGGAGAGCGTGCCAGGCCATGGACAGGGCTGCCCTGTCTGTGCTGTGCAGACGGCACTGCCTCAAGCCTGTTTGCTAAGTACAGGAATTGGAAGAGGCTGAAGATTTTTACAGAAACCCAATAGGGTGGTTCGAAGTGTCCTAAATTTAGTAACTGGAAACTTGATTTGTCTGGTTTTCTTAAGTCTCTCTCCGATAAGATATTTTAATTTTTACAGATGCATCTATGGTGGGCGATTAAAAGGAAGGGCCTGATTTTCCAAACAGCACTTGTGTATGACAAAATGCTAGCAAAGAAGCCCTCCCACGGTGCTTTTGGTTAAAGGACAGTAACAGTGAAAAATGGTCACTTGTCATGAATGCTGATAGCCAGGGGGTTATTCATTTAATTAGAGAAAGGCGAAGAAATGGGGGTTGGGGGAGGGAGTTCTGGGGGGAGTTCTGTTGAGGGAGAGGGCTCAATCAGGATATACAATGAATAAATTGTAAAAAATAAAAAGAAAAAGAAAAACTTAACTGCTGATAGAAAAGTCTGTAGGCTTTCAGCTGAATGGGAGCCTGGGCTCTTTTGGGCTTTCACTACCAAACTGGACTCTTTCCTTCTCTCTGTGAGTGGAGAGTTATCGCTTTTGATGCCTGGCAACCGTTGTAAGGGAAATCTTGGAACTTACAAGTGGGACAAAAAGGACAAGGAAAGAGATTTTGTGCAGATAGCAGAGTGGGATTAAAAGAAGTTCAGGCAGGAGGTGATCCATGCGCAAAGAGAGATTTGCCTCATTAAAAATAAAGTCTCGAAGGACAGTCACTGGGCTGCTGACAGCAAGCATCGTTTGGAGGTAGGATTACCAAAAACTTTTGCTTTCTAAGTAAATGTCCGTGTCTGTACATTTTCGAGCAAACACTCGGGACTGCTACCGGAAGAGGTGGAAAGGAATGTTAGTTGTAAAACTGGATTCTGGAATCCGTGTATCGCTTGAGAGGGAGTTTACTAACACCAACAGCAATACAAAGTAACGAGAAACTATGTGGAAACATCCCTCATGCAGCACAGACGCCTGAGCTGCACACTGTCCTGGGCCTGGCTATCTGTGGGATTGGGCAGCCTGTCTCTATGGCAAGGCAGTTTTCTTTTCTTTGCCTTTTTCTTTTTTTTTTTTTCTTTCTCCCTTTTTTAAAAAATATAACTCTACTTTTTCTCTTATTCACCTTTTTTTAAATTATTTATTTTTGTTTCACGTGTTTTGCCTGAATATGTCTGTGTGATGGTGTAGGACCTCCTAGAAGTAGAGTTACAAACAACTGTAAGCTGCCATGTGGGTGCTGGGAACGGAACCCGGGTTCTCTGGAAGAGCAGCTGCTGGTACCCAGCCATCTCTTCAGCCCCACAAGGAACTTTTCACAGTCAAGTCTTTCTGGTAAGAGCTGAGGTTTGGTGCTGGTGGACCTGGTTGGTGAATGAGCAATACAGGATGCCTCACTAAGTGCTCTTCTTCTGTTGGAGAGTCGGATGACTGACTGTAAAGGGATCCAGCCCTTGCTGAGTCCTGCTGTGCGTCTGGACACGGTGCATTGCTGTTAACAAGCATAATTTAACTTGATCTTTGGGAGGAAGGGTCTCCTAAGGAAGGTAGCTTTTGTGATAATGCAATTGAGGCTCAGGAAGCTGGGAAACCCGCAGTGGCCGTGCAGCTCAGGCCTGTGTGTATTTGAAGTTCATGGTTTCCCATCAACATCGCCCTGCTCTCTCCTAAGTCAATCTGTCATAATAAAGGCCCTTCCCCCTTCACTGCAAGCAACCACAGCCTTAATCCTTCACAACTTACTTGCTACTTAGGGACATGCATGAAATGCTGGGTAGGAATATGGTTTAAGGAGGGCTAGGGAAATGGCTCAGTTGGTAAAATGCATGTCTTGCCAGCAAGAGTCTGATCCCCGCCACACTTGTAAAAGCCCAGTGTAGTGACAGGCACGTGTAACCCTAGAGCCGGGGAAATGGAGGCAGGCAGGTCCCTGGGGCTTGCTGGCTGGCCAGCATGGTCTAATCAGAGTCCTGGGTTGTGGTGAGAGACCTTGTCTCAAAAGGCAAGCTGCACGGAGCCTGAGAAATGACACCTGAAGATGACCTCTGGTGTGCACACACAGCAAGAGACAGAGAATATGGTTTAAATAACACGAAGTGGAAGGATAATGCTTAGAGCCATAGTACATTCTAGAATGAGTGTTTAATAGCCTCTGACTTTTCTTTGCGGTTTTTAAGCAACCAAGCATCCTTCACTTGTACGGCTCTAAAAGCCATCGACCATGATGGCTTCCCAAGTCAAAAGGATTGGTCTAAAGATGTTGATAACATATTTTGATTCCTTAAGTATTAGGAAAACAAGTGAGAGAATTTGGAGAGGGGCCAAACTACCCAACAATTGGGTCTGAACGTGAAGTTAATTTGGGAGCATGGTTCTGTTTAGAAAACAAACTGGTAACAATATTCCTGCCTGTCAGAACAGCAAGCAGTCTGAAACACACAATGGTGTTTTCTTCCCTTTGCTGTCCCCAGGTCCTGAGAGACACTCACTGATTTTTAACTCTTTCTTTACCGGTGTCTGTTGCAGATGCAGACTTTTCTGTTTATAATGTTTTCACACTCTGCTTATTTAGCATCGGCCATATGTCCCGGACCTCTTTCTATGTCAGCACCTAAAAATCTGCCTATACTATCACTTGTTATGACTGCATAATATTTTGTTGCATGGTTATGCCACAAGTGATTTGAACAGACACAGTTGGGAATAGGCACATGAATGTGTATATAAAAATGCAGGTTGAGACATATAAACCAGGCCTACAATACGACCTGAGGGAAAGGGACCCTCTTAAATTATACACCCCTAGTTCCTTGCCAGCTTCCCTGTGGCCCTCTGCGTCTGTAACATTTGACCAAATTGCAGTGGGTGTCCTTTCACAAAGATTACTTTACAGTTGTACCCCTGTCCCCTTCAGGGCCCTGCCATTGGAAATAATAAGCCAATGTCAAGTACCACGGCTGGAGTCTCCCTGCCTCCACTCCTTGTTGTTTTAACCCGTGCTCTCACATGACTTGAAGTGCACTAAGCTGTTTGGTGATAATAAAATAAAAGTTTTATGGAAACAATGCGTGATTTGAATGCACTAATATATCATGATGCTGGATGTTTAAAAATATGTTGCCAAATTCTGCCGAGTATTCAGTAAAATTAAAAACAACGGGTGTAAATCACTCCTCTTTGCAAAAGAAAAGCCATTTAGCAGAGCTACCTTTGATCTGTTCCATGTACCACGAAGTTTGTTTAAATTGCCCCTTTGGGGTTGGAGAAGATGCATTTGGAGTGGTGTTGCCAGGATGTTGAGGTCACCCTAGCTGAGACCAGAAGTCCAGCTGAGATACGTAAGAGAAGATTCCAGGGATGAGTACAGAAAAGGGCACACGAGAGCTGTTCCTTGGTGATAGAACCATTCGCTGGGCTGATATAAATACTCCTGTGAGCTGGAAGTTGCCAAGGTAACAGTCCCATTAATAAAGAATAACCCTCATTTATTATCAGTGCCTGAAGGATTTTTTTTCTCAATAAAATGTCCCTGGTAGTCTAACACTGACACTCTTGCTCTACCTACTCAGCTTTCCTTTCTCGACAGCAGAACTATTTAGCCCTGCTCAGTAGGTGTGCCTTAGCTTCTCCCACACTGGGAACAGAATGGGAGGAAAGAAACTCAGCACCCTGTAAAGGCAGTAAAGATATTAATTTATAACAATTACCTAATAGAAAGTAATTGCCTTTTTGATATATGGTTTGGCACAGGCAGAGCCTGCAAGTGACTGTGACTCAGTTGTATTTGAGCAGGCCGGGACTTTAAATTAACTCATCTTTATGATTTAATGGCTCCTAGCCAAAATATTTTTAAGTAAGTGGAGTGTGACATTAGCACTTCAAGTCCCCAGTCAGGCTGCAAATTTCGGCTCCGTTTTCTCAGGCATGCACGGGATAGTTCAGAAAGGCAGCCATGCTGAGATGCAGGTCTTTGGGAACCTCTGCTGTTCTGAAGAGTTAGAAAATTATTTAGACCCCAGGTGGTGGTGGCACACTCCTGTAATTCCAGCACTCGGGAGGCAGAGGCAGGCAGATCTCTGAGTTCAAGGCCAGCCTGGTCTACAGAATGAGTTCCAGGACAACCAGGACTACAATGGAGGAATCCCGTCTTGAGAAACTGAAAGGAAGAAACAAAGAAAGAGAAAAGAGAAGAGAATTATTTAGAAAGATGATGGTTAGGGATGACTGGGTACCACACACGATGCTTCCTGGTAGCAGTGGGGTATGGGCAGAAGGAACTCTTTTACCCAGAAAGAATATTGTGTTCGTAACTGATTCACTCATGTGACAAAACCTGACAAAAGCAACTTAAGAAAGGAAGGGTTTATTTTGACTCACAGTTTGAGGGGATACAGTCAATCATGGTGGCCACACTGCATTCCCAGTCAGAAAGCGGAGAAGGGACGAGGTGAAAGACAGTGTTTGATGTGCTTTCTCCTGGTTTATTTTTGTCTGTTTCTGCATTCTTCCTGTGGTGTTGGGGATTAAATACAGAACTTGTACATACTGGAAAGCGCTTTATCACTGAACAACATCCCCATGCTTTCTCCTCTCCATGAACCCAAGACCCCAGCCTAGGGAATGGTGCCATCCATATTCTAAATGGGCCTTTCTTGCTCAGTTAAAACTCTCTAGAAACACCTTTGCAGGCACACCCCGTGTGATTCCAAATCTAGTCAGTTACAATGAAGATAAACCATCACAAATGCAGTAGAAGAGCTTACCTTTCACCCACCTTTGATTATAGCAACAGCTCTTTCCTGTCCAGACTGGATGCTTGCTGTGTGCTTATACAGCAAACATTTTATTGCTTATTACTCACATACATGGTTGGTTGGTTTTTTGTTTTTTGTTTTTGTTTTTGCGTCTCGTTTTGTTAGTCCCAAAGATGGCAGGAGAAAGACCACTGACCTATATCATCAAGGTTTTCTTTTTCTTTTTTTTTTTTTTTTTTTTTTTGGTTGTATTTCTTTCTTTTTATTTTTTTTTTACTATTAATTATACTTTATTCATTTTGTATCCCCCATAAGCCCCTCCCTCCTCCCCTCCTGATCCCACCCTCCCTCCCCCTTCTTCACGAATGCCCCTCCCCAAGTCCACTGATAGGGGAGGTCCTCCTCTTCTTCTTTCTGATCTTAGTCTATCAGATCACATCAGGAGTGGCTGCATTGTCATCTTCTGTGGCCTGGTGAGGCTGCTTCCCCATCAGGGGGAGGTGATCAAAGAGCAGGCCTATCAGATTATGTCAGAGGCAGTCCCTGTTCCCATTACTATGTAACCCACTTGGACACTGAACTGTCATGTGCTACATCTGTGCAGGGGTTCTAGGTTATCTCCATGCATAGTCCTTGGTTGGAGTATGAGTCTCTGGGAAATTCCCTGTGTTCAAATTTTCTGGTTCTGTTGTTCTCCTTGTGTGGTTCCCATCCTCTCCATCTCCTACTATTTCCCACTTCTTACATAAGATTCCATGCACTCTGCCCAACAGTTGGCCATAAGTCTCAGCGTCTGCTTTGATAGTCTGCAGGGCAGAGGCTTTCAGAGGCCCTCTGTGGCAGATTCCTAGGTTGTTTTCTGTTTTCTTCATCTTCTGATGTCCAACCTCTTTGCCTTTCAGGATCATCAAGGTTTTTTAAGGGGTAGGAGGTTTCCAAATGGGGGATTTTGCAGGCAAAATAGACAGGGTTGCAGGAACAGAACATAAACATACCAAGTTAGTCACAACATCCATGAAACAAAGACATGATTACAAGGTGGTTATAACAACAGGTAGTCATAACAAGGTAGCCATACAGCCTTTTTTTTTTTTT